GGTGACATGTACCTGTAATCTTGACTCCAAGGAGGCTGAAGCAGAATTGCAAGTATGAAACCAGCCTAGGCTACACTTCAAAAAAAAAAAAAAAAGTCATGCACACATAGAGTGTGTTCTAGAGTATTCCAACACAAAAGTTCTAGACTTTTCCACACATTTTCATCTTAAAGGGAATAAAACATAGTTTATTCTGGACACCCTATCTCGAAGAAAACAAAAACAAAAACAACAACAACAAAAAAGACATAGTTTATTCTGGACACATTTTTTTTTGAATGACCATGGCCTGGAAATACATCTATGGGTTACTAAAAACTCAATCATCCAAAGTGGAAACAGTTTCATGAATTTTTATAGTTTCATAGAACAAAGTCATAAATCAGGGTAAGTTTAAAATACATACACTGGTGGGTACAGCAGAGAGGTGCTTACAGCCAGATGATGGAAGCTTTGCTGTAGGCCCAAGATGCTTTTTAATGACATTCTTAGCTTTTGGGTTTGGGACTTGGTAGTCTCCTAAGTTAATAGATACCAAAATTGTTTTATCTATTATCCACAGGATGCTGGTTCTGACAGAATAGGTAGGGAACAGATGTTCCCAGTGATAAGGTAAGGTAATTAGCCTCTGGATCAGCATTCCAACCTCTCCACAGTACTGCAGTTCAATTGGTCTCAGCTGACATAGATTCTTCTCAGGAAACTTTGTTCACGCCAACAAAGGGTCTCATGTGGACATTGTCAGGAGTGTGGACACACAAGGTCCACTCTAATCTTAGAGTTTCAGCATCTATAAGATGACAGGACCCACACGTGAGGATATTTGAGAAGCAGTGCTCCATTTAGTATATAATAAATTTAATGTGTTTATGCTTAATATTTTTGTACTTAACTCTTACACTGAGATTCAAAACTTGAATAACAGTCTAGAAGAGGAAAAGGTAAAATTCATAAGGTTCTCTAGAAGTAACCATCTTATTAAATAAGAAACACAGAGCCAATGTAAAGATAAAAGCCCAAGAGATCAGAGCTAAGATCCTTACCCTTCCTGTTTTAGCGAGCCTCTTCAGCCAAGAGAGACCTACTTCCTGTGTATTTGTCTTTATATAGACTTTCTGTTCTGCCTTCTCATTGGTTATAAACCCAACCACATGACTGCCTCATCACTGCCTGTCTGTACAGACCTCCAGGTCTTCTATGGTTGGTATTGAGATTAAAACCGTGTGTCTCCAATGCTGGCTGTATCCTTGACCACACAGAGATCTACCTAGCTCTGCCTACCAAGTGCTGGGATTAAAGGCGTGCACCATGAACACCCAGCTCCGCTATGGCTTACTATTAGCTCTGACCCCCAGGCAACTTTATTTATTAACATACAAATAAAATCACACTTCAGTACAAATAAAATATCACCATAATGTTCATCTTAAATTTTACTATAGAATTATTAACTAATTTAAATTCTTCCACAAGAAAGAGCTCTGCATGGACACTTCAGTGATTTATTCCTTGGGCACCATTTCTTAGTAAAATTTGTACTGTTTTAAGCGTAAGTAAAGCATCCCTTTGAGTTTCTTTACACTGCTTACTGTGGACACTTGCTATAACTTCCACTGTATACTTGATATTTAATTCTTTTTTCATTCCCTTAGTGCATCAGCATCTTCCTCACTCAAAAATTTCCTTAAAGTATATGTTGGTATTGTCTACTGGTACCTCCTTATTCCTGATC